CTCCTCAGTCTGTTCTTTCGGCATCCCTCATATAACAGTGAGGAGGAACTCCTCTCGCTCGCTCGCTCGATTGTCGTTGTCTCCGATCTCAGTCTGTTCTTTCGGCATCCCTCATATAACAGTGAGGAGGAACTCCTCTCGCTCGCTCGCTCGATTGTCGTTGTCTCCGATCTCAGATCCAGCAATCTATGAACTCTTCAAAGGTACGCTCTGATCTAGGGTTTTAATTCGTTTTCCATTGAAAATTTCACAACAATTCGCCAATAATCGTTCAGATCTGATCCGAATCTGAGTTCAGCAGCACCGAACGACCCCCAAATCCTTTTCTAGGGTTTCCGTCTCGCCAGAATTCAGATCCAGGTCTAGATCCGTCCCTCTCCGATGGCGATGGAGAAATCCTGCACGCTCCTCGTCCACTTCGACAAGGGAACTCCCGCCCTCGCCAACGAGATCAAGGAGTGTCTCGAGGGGAACGACGTCGAGGCGAAGGTCGACGCCATGAAGAAGGCCATCATGCTCCTCCTCAACGGCGAAACCCTACCCCAGCTCTTCATCACCATCGTCCGCTACGTTCTCCCCTCAGAGGATCACACCGTTCAGAAGCTGCTCCTTTTGTACCTCGAGATCATCGATAAGACCGACGGGAAAGGCCGGGTCCTCCCCGAGATGATCCTGATCTGCCAGAACCTGAGAAATAATCTCCAGCATCCTAATGAGTACATCAGAGGAGTTACTCTCAGGTTCCTTTGCCGGATCTCGGAATCCGAGCTCATCGAGCCGTTGGTTCCGTCGGTGCTCTCGAATCTCGAGCATCGCCATCCGTTTATCCGCAGGAACGCGATATTGGCGATTATGTCGATCTACAAGTTGCCGCAAGGGGAGCAATTGCTTGCTGATGCCCCTGAAATGATCGAGAAAGCGTTGGGTTCTGAGCAAGATCCGTCGGCAAAGAGGAACGCTTTCTTGATGCTGTTCAATTGCGCGCAGGACCGGGCGGTGAATTACCTGCTCTCGCATGTGGATCAGGTCGCCGAGTGGAATGAGCTTTTGCAGATGGTGGTTCTTGATTTGATCAGAAAAGTTTGCAGATCCAACCCCCGTGAAAAGGGGAAGTACATTAAGATTATCGTTTCTCTTCTCACTGCACCATCGGCTGCGGTGGTTTATGAATGTGCTTGCACTCTTGTTTCTCTCTCGTCTGCTCCGTCGGCGATCAGGTCTGCTGCTAGCACTTACTGCAGCTTGCTGCTCTCTCAGAGCGACAACAATGTGAAGTTGATTGTGCTTGATCGGCTCAATGAGCTCAAGACTTCCCATAGGGAGGTCATGATGGAGATGATCATGGATGTGCTTCGATCTCTGTCAAGCCCGAATCTTGATATCCGCCGCAAAACTCTGGATATCGTGCTTGATTTGATCACTCCGAGGAATATTGATGAGGTTGTTCTTACTCTTAAGAAGGAGGTTGTCAAGACCCAGAGTGGCGAACTGGAGAAGAACGGGGAGTATAGGCAAATGCTTGTGCAAGCCATTCATACCTGTGCCATGAAGTTCCCTGAGGTAGCGAGCACCGTCGTTCATCTCTTGATGGATTTCTTAGGGGATAGCAACGTGGCTTCTGCTATTGATGTGGTACTCTTTGTGCGAGAGATCATTGAGACCAACCCGAAGCTTAGGGTTTCGATCATTACCAGGCTGCTGGATACTTTCTATCAGATTCGGGCTGCGAGGGTCTGTTCTAGTGCTCTATGGATCATTGGGGAGTACTGCCTTTCTTTGTCTGAAGTGGAGAGTGGGATCTCAACCATTAAGCAATGCCTTGGCGATCTCCCCTTCTATTCTGTAGCTGAGGAAGGCGAGGCGAATGATGCTTCAAAGAGGCCTCAACAAGTGAACTCATCAGTCACTGTTTCTTCTCGAAGGCCCGCTGTTCTCGCCGATGGGACTTATGCTACCCAAAGTGCTGCATCTGAAACTGCAATTTCAGCTCCTGCTATTGTTCCTGGATCTTTGGCTGCACCAGGGAACTTGAGATCTTTGATCCTGAGTGGAGACTTCTTTTTAGGAGCTGTTGTTGCTTGCACCCTAACCAAGTTGGTTTTGAGGCTGGAAGAGGTTCAGCCATCGAAGGCCGAAGTCAACAAGCAGGCTGCTGGTGCTTTGTTGATCATGGTGTCTGTGCTGCAGTTAGGGCAATCCTCTTATCTTCCCCACCCAATTGATAATGATTCCTATGAGAGGATTGTGCTTTGTGTTAGGCTTCTGTGCAACACCGGAGATGAAGTTAGGAAGATTTGGTTGCAGTCATGTCGTCAGAGCTTTGCAAAGATGCTAGCAGATAAGCAATTCAGGGAGACACAGGAGATTAAAGCACAAGCCCAGTTTTCTCATGCACAACCAGATGATCTCATTGATTTCTATCATCTGAAGAGCAGGAAGGTAAGGGGAACGCGGCTCCTTTTTGCATCAATCAGCTTAGATTTTTTTTCTCTTTCATTAGTGCTGCATGTCTTGATTTTTATACACCCATACTTTGTTGTGTGCCAATTTCTATCTAAGTTTTGGCATTTCATTACCATCTTGTCCAAGGCATGCATGCATGCTGTATTCAATTATACAGGAGTATCAGTAGGATGCAGTACATGACTGTGATCAATACCATGTAATTGAACCTTTTTAATTATGATAAATTAAAGTAAATATATGCTTTCTCCGTTGTTGTGCTTATCATCCCTTGTGCAGAAACGACTACGACCTTTATTGTACTTCTACATGGCAAGCTCTTAAACGAGAAAGCTAAATAACATGAAGGCTAATTCATACGCAACAACAAAGAGCATTCAGTGAGCTATCATGAACAATGTAAAACGGAGATAGAAGGAATGGGGCCTAAACCTCATCTAACGTAGTTGATGGGATGAGCTATAGCTAGTAGTTGGCTCTTTTTAGATGATTTTGAATACTTCATAGTAGTTGGCTCTTTTTTAGATGATTTTGAATACTTCATTTTAATCTCTGCAATATATACGTGGGCATAGAATACATTATGTAGTATACATTTCCAGTGAGTTTGATTTTGTGTTTTAGCTTTTGAAGAAAATCTTTTAATATGAGAAAATTGTTGGTTTTGTTGTAAAAAATATCACTATTTAGAAGTTTGCTATATTGATGCATGTGTGTGTACCCTGCATGGTGAAACCACATACTATCAAATATAACTGTATCTAGAGTAATCTGGAATATTGGGTAGTTCTTAATCCGTTTGGTTTATGAGGCTTCTCGAGTATTATTAGATCTATCTCAGACAATTGTTACTTGTGCTCTCTGCTTCAGTGAAACATTGGTATAGACCTTTCTCCCTTAAGACTATTACTTGTAGCACTTGTAACAATTAAGAATGTTTTCAGCAATTCTATTTGCGATGATGGTTTTTCTCTTTCTTAGGGGATGAGCCTGCTTGAGCTCGAGGATGAGGTTCATGATGACTTGAAACGTGCAACAGGAGAATTCACCAAGGATGGAGATGATGCTAACAAATTAAACCGCATTCTTCAACTCACAGGATTTAGTGACCCTGTCTATGCTGAGGCCTATGTGACTGTTCATCACTATGATATTGTCCTTGATGTCACAGTCATTAACCGAACTAAGGAGACACTTCAGAATCTATGTTTGGAGCTTGCAACCATGGGAGACCTTAAACTGGTGGAGCGTCCACAGAACTATACCCTAGCACCTGAGTCAAGCAAGCAGATCAAAGCCAACATTAAGGTCTCTTCAACAGAAACTGGTGTCATATTTGGGAATATTGTTTATGAGACCTCAAATGTTCACGAGAGAACTGTTGTTGTGCTCAGTGACATTCACATTGACATCATGGACTACATTTCACCTGCCACTTGTGCTGATTCGGCATTTAGAAATATGTGGGCGGAATTTGAGTGGGAAAACAAGGTGCTTTTCTTTCCTCTGCAGGATTTTTTTCTCCACATTACTATTTCTATGGACATCCAGGAAATTGAGAACTTACATTTTACTGTCAGGAACGTAATAGTACATGTCAATAGCTAAAGTATAGTATTGTATCCTGGGTATTTGCATGGTGTGCAACAATTGATTTTCCAGAATACTCCATGTTACTCATGAAATTCTGGATAAAGTTTAGTGCTGATCCGGACATATTTAGAAAGTAAATAAGGTTCACATTCATATTCAGATATTTCGTTACCCTTTTGATGGTGATTTTCTAAAGAAATATTACTTTGTGAATGTATTATAAATTTTGATGTCGGGTTAATTATACTAGGACGTGTATATGTTGTGCAGACATGAACTGTCGAGGTAGAAGAAAACAAAAATAAAATTGATACTTTAGGGATATAAGCACATTATCGTGTTAACTTTTATGTTTAGGTTTTGTAAACTTAGCCATGCCTGGGAATTTGTAACGCGAGGAGAGAGTGAGCGCTCATTGTATGATTGCTTTTAAATATGGGAATCGGTTAGATGTGTTTTGTTGTAGAGAAAAAGAGGAATATGGGTGGATTCTGGGGGTAGAGCTAGCATTCCTTCCCCTACCTCTTTTTGCTTATTCAGTCTGGGAAAGATGGAGAGGCATGTTGGCAAACAATCAGCTTTGATATACCAATTCTTGAGAATCGGGCGATCGGTGTGAAAACTTCACCTGGATCTAGCCAACTAGATGTCCTCCCTCTTACTGGGGCCACAAACAGTTACTTGAACAATAGGGAAACACTGAGAAAGAGCAATATTCGAATACAAACAACAATAAGCAATATATCGCAGAAAAGATAATCAGACAAAGGGTACGAGGATTTACGTGACTCGGCAATCACATACATCCTTGGGGGGCTATTTGGGTCTTCTTTATTTCCAAAGATTATGAAGATATAATCTTTCTTGTGTTACTCAAGGAAGACGCAAGAAACCCTCTCTCAATCTCAAGATCCACACAATCCTAGATTTCTTTCCTTTGTTTCTTCTCTACAACTCTCTGTCGACTTTGATACAATCCCTAGACCCGAAAGATCTGTATTTATAGGGTTAAACCCGAATTCAATACCAAACAAGACTTTTAACCAGAGCAGGATTCCAAAACTAGAAAGCAACTGAAATCCAGCTTAGGAGGCAGTCCGGAGCGGTCTGACCAGTCGGTTCATCAGGCCATCGACAGACCTCACTGACGGTTTGACCGACCGGTGCACTACCTGCACTTGGCCATTTCTTTTCCAGCTTCCCTTCTGACTCTTCCGACATCTCCCATGCTAAAATACGGGGCTCATCCCAACAGTGCAAATTGAGCAACTTTTTTTTAAAATAAAGGAAGGCATGTTGTGCTTTGAAGATGGGGTGGCATTCTGTTCGGTTAGAGGTCCTTTAATGTTTATTTTTATTTTTTCAGCGGATGTGGGTTCAGAGATGGGTATTATTGTACAAAATGCCAAACTAACGGCGATATTTGATTATTAGTAGAAGGTAGCAACTGGATTTGGACTATATATATGGTGGCCAGAAAGATGGATATTATTAGTAGGGAAGTCCATTAGAGGTAGAAAATTTGGAAGAGAAATAGGCTAGACCTTGACTTAGTCAATGGGATATATATATCACAATAACTGAACTCTGTTTAGTCAAAATGCTGCATCATGTGATTGTTTATATTTCTGAATTTCTAGCACATGTTCCAAAATATCCATTTTATTTAGATAAATATTTTGTGCCCTAGAAGTTCATCACCGGTATATTACATATACTAAACTGATGGATATGAGATATCCATATTTGTCATGAAACAAATCAGGTATGGAGCGGATTATCCATAATTTTTTGCACCTATACTGGAGGTTGCTGGGAAATAGGGATTATGTGAAAATGAATAGTAAAGGAGGACCTTGGACATTAAATGTGGAAGATGCTGTAAACAGAAAGAAAACATCTTGACATGTAGCATAATAAAATTATTTGGGAAAGCGTAATGGTTTGAAACAATATTCAATACTAATTTTAAAAAAAAACTGCAGCTGAAATGGTTGTTTAAAAACATGTTCTGTTGTCATTATCTTTTATCATTTGTATTTTTTTCCCCCAGTTCTCCTTTGGCTACTTTTTAGTTTCACTTGTTATTTTTGTCAAAAACCTCTCGACATTCCTGTCAGGTTATTTGGCTCACTACTGACCTATAGCCTCTTCTTATTATGTGGAACATTCAGTGTGAAACCAATTTCCCCAACTTTTCTCAATTCTTTTTCAACTTTATTTGGGTCTTCACATTCTCTCTTCCCAGGCTTCCTCTCTTTTCAAAATTTTGTTTATTCAGTCATTTCTTGCCTGGGATTACTGAACTTCATTATACATGCGCATGTGGTTCTTAATGGGTTCCGCTTTGTTCTCTATTATTCTGTGAACTCATGCTTCTCCAAAATGTTTGTTTTTCGCGTGTGTCATTGTGATAATATTCTTTACTTACAACATATTTTAATTGTCTATATTGGATGACTACAGATCATTATAGTTTGTCACTGTTTGGCTTATTTTAATGCTGTACATTTGTTGACAAATTTCTGATGTCTCATTTCAGGTGGCTGTGAACACTGTAATTCAAAACGAGAAGGAATTTTTGAATCACATCATAAAGTCTACGAACATGAAGTGTCTCACCCCTCCGTAAGTTCTATACTTTTCAAAAATAAAGCATGAGTTACAGCCTATGTTGCATGGGCACGGGTACGGGACACGGGAAATTTGTAAAATGTAGGGGATGGGGACACACCTATATAAATATTTATATATTCATATACATATTATACGTTAGAATTAATAATTTACAATAGATCAATATTGTTTTCATTCATGTGTTATGATAACTAAAATCTCTATAGGACTTCTATGTTTCTTTTATTAGGTGGATTATGAATTGGAAAACCACTAGTTTTCTAACTCGACATCCAAACGACCCATTTAAACTTATTGTTTGGAAGCTGACCTATGACATATGTCCAACGAGTTTCAAAAAGTGGATGTTAAGATGTAGGATATATGTTCAAAAAATGTACGACAAGTATTTTAAATTAAAACATGTATTGTATAATTGAGTAGATGGCCGAATAATTGTTTGCATATATGCAAGGAGCGTCCAAGGAGTTTGGGTATGGGTACGTGTCGAGTACGAGGGCGGCACTTAGATAGAAGTACCCAGTTAACTTAGGTTATAGCATTGGATTGCTCTTGAATTCTTCTCCTGGATGAAGTCTTCAAATTCACACTACATTTTTCTACGCAAATAGCTCTGTAAAAATATGCTGCGACAATATTTTCTTTGTAATGTCAGTAGACCCAAGTGGTCTGACCCTTCCCTGGACCTGCACATAGAGGCAGCTTCATGCATCAGGCTGCCCATTAATGTTTTACAAAATTGATGGCTCATGTAAATTATTGAAACCATCCGTGGGTCAAATCAGGTTAGCGCTAATTGTTAGTAAGAAATTTCCACAACCTGGTCTGTTTGATAGGCAATAGACAAGTAACTATGATGACCCTCACATGCTTGTTTACTCAGGGAACAGAGTAGTAATTCTAACATCTTTCTATTTATTTGTCATTGTTTAGTTGTTTTCTTAAAATCTCCCAAGGTTAAAATGAATTATGCAACATTTTCCTGTGAATTCAGAACTGTACTTCCCAACTATATTCCTAAGTGCTAGACTTGTAACATACTATGTAAATAATGGACATCTTCCATTAGGAAACCACTGTTACTCAATTCTTTTGTCTGTTTTCAGGTCTGCACTTGACGGAGAGTGTGGGTTTCTTGCTGCAAATCTTTATGCTAAGAGTGTGTTCGGGGAGGACGCATTGGTGAATGTGAGCATAGAGAAGCAGGCTGATGGGAAGCTCAGTGGTTACATTAGGATAAGAAGCAAGACCCAAGGTATCGCCCTCAGTCTCGGAGACAAGATCACTCTCAAACAAAAAGGAGGCAGCTGAGCTGTGATGATCCTTGCACTTCTCTTCGTCCTTCTGGTTTCGACTTCACATCATAGTTGCATATAAGGACCCTCACATCAAGGACGTTGCTCCCTTCATAGTTTTGCATGCGCAATTTACTCATACGCGCTAATAATCTTTTTTTCCCCTCCCTCCAATTTCTATTGCTATCTTGTTACTATTGTTATCACAGAATGTAATGGATTATTACAACATTTGTTTATTGTTCTCTTTTGTAGTGAATTCACACCAATTGCACAAATCTATACACTTGTGATGTGGAGTTTATTTATTTATTTGTTTATTAATATTACTAAAGTATCCTACCATTTGATTTTAGCATGAATAGTAGGGTGTCCTCTGTAATGCAAATTCTGTCAGATTTTAGTGCGTTGATCTTGTTTCCTCTGTCAGCTGTGATATTCTTCTTTGATTTACTTCGCAACGGTTGTTGACCAGTGGTGATTATTTTCTTTTATTTTTCTCTCATAAATTCAGTATTTCTTTATGATTATTTTCTTTTAGTTTCTTATGAAAATCAGTACTTTTTGGAGTCGTTCGTGGATGGGGGTGAACTGAGAAATGCAAGAAGTAATGCATGAAACATTCCTTTTCAAGGTTAGCACTTAGCATGAATACACTCATTATATAGGGTAAACCTTCATAGATACAGCATAAACCTCCATGAACATGGTAAGTTGCATATAAATTATTTCTTGACCGATGCAATTGAGCGAGAGAAGGAAGGATGTCTTGGATACCGCTAATACAATCATCACATATCAATCAAGCAATCAATCAAGTTGAACTTGTAGGATCTACGGAGTGACTCAACAAGTTCAGGAAATGTGAGAGGATGCGCCCATCATTGATAACTCTTCAAATACTTCTCACTGCGAACAACAACGACATCAACAATGAGATGAATACTGGCCGAGCGAGAGCGCTACTTGCACAGCTTGAGCTTCTTGAAGAAGGAAGCAACCTGTGACTTGGGGTAGGGCCTCGTCGCTAAGCAAGTGGGTATGTTCTCAGGCTGCTCGATCCAGAGCTTGTGCTCGATCCCTGCAGCCTCTAGCTTCTCCGATAAGTTCTTTATCTGCGCCTCTCCCTTCACCTCTAATGTCACCTACTCATAATTCACCCCCACAACAGAACAGAGAGTGAATAAACAAGATTTATTTAAAATAAAAAAAATATGTATCAAGATTCAGTGAATCCTGATTCCCGATTTGTTTTTCTAAAGGGACACTCGTAGTATGTATTCATCATGCAAACTGGTTAGTGTGTCGCTGACGTGGCACATTCAGCACATATGTAAGCCAGGCCATAGAGTATGGTTAACACATATTGATGATCTGATACTATGTTGATCTTGACGCGCGTCACGATAAATCCATAACAAGATTTGTGTTTTCATACCATTCGTATTGGATCTAAATAAATTTTCTTCCAAGTTCGGATGTTTCCCCAAAAAAAATTTCCTCAAACTGGTTTTTTTAAGTACGACTGAGATGGGCTACGAGGACTGAAACTGAAATATGAGATTGAGACTTAAAGAGTTGAGCGTTTGTCGATCGAGCCACACCTTGTGAGCATCGAGGCCAATGGTTGGGCTCGGGAGATAGCCGGCGGTATCAGGCCGGTCGTCGTGGCCCAGGAGCCGGGCAACGGGACGCGCTTGCCACCCGCTGGGGCGACGGCTCCCAGGGCCACGTGTCGATCAGCGGCCCGGCCGGAGAACCATCGTACTGCTACTGACACGTCGGACGCCGGGGGGCAGCCGAGGTTCTCGCGGCCCGTCGCCAGCGCTTCAGCACGATGATGGCGCTGCCTGCTTTCCCTCGTTTTTCAACGGGAAAAGCGCTCGAACTCCTAACCCTGGTCGTGCTGAGGTTAGAGGAGTTTGATGGCCGCCAGAGGAGGAGGAGGAGGATGGCACGTGACGATGGAGAGCGAGCTGGACTCAACATCACTTCTATCTTAATGAGCGAGAGAGAGAACAAAGCGGCGAAATACGGGTTGGGGTTTTTTGGATCTCCGTGGGCTGGGCCTTACAGATTTACTAACGCGAAATTGGGCCTATTTGATTGTACCGTGGATTTCAATTTAAGAAGATTTATTTTGTTTAATCAGCCTTCGTATCACATAGCCTATTTGATCGTACCTCCTCGATCTTGATGATGTCAAGTAAGTACGAGGAATTTTTTTTAAACAAATAACATCTACATCTATATTCATATTCGTGATTAGTAGGTGTAATATGAAAAATATCACAGCCGAACAGCCCCCTTAAAAGTTATTTATGCTGCGTCAAATTTCTTACTACGTGAAAAATATATCACAGCCCGTGCGTGTTAGCTAATATAAACATGCAATCCCAAGCTCCACAAATTATTTATGTCGCATCAAATTCCTTACTCGCCTGCTCCTTGACATGTCAAATCACATACACGTGTTCCTTCTTTTTCGCCTTCATTGATGCACCGCGATACCTAACATTTATAACCACCATCTGCTATGTCCGGGACCGGCAACAAGTCAAAATTGGGGTTTTTTTTTTAAAGAAAGATCTTTTTTTGCTAAACAATTAGCAAAATCGATCATTTTGTTAATTATTTAGTAAAAATCGATCTTTTTTTTCAACAGGTCAAAAAGAGGTTGATTTTTAAAAAAACAGTATATTCGAAACAAACAAGACTAGTAGTCCCGTATGTTCTAAAATCAGAACCAAAACATGCGGGACTACTAGTCCTGTATGTTTGGGCCAGACTGTTTTTTAAAATCTGTGGGCTCGGAACGACATCACGTTGATGTGAGGGCTTCCACCATCGACTGACATACGAGCGCCATTTCTCCTTCCCTCTCCTCCTCTCTCCAAACCCACATAAAATTTTTTATCCCGATTCTTTTAAAATCCCCCATCCCTTCAAATCCAACAAATTAATCCCAAAAAATGTTCTCAATCCCCACATAAAAATGAACCCATCAAGCTGAGGAGGAGGAGGAGATGGAGCTCCGCGTCGACTCACCAGAGGCGCTGTATCTCGCAGTCAATTACATAATCTACATGGATCGTTGCCTCTCGCGCAGGGACCTCAACTGCCACTGGCTCTAGCTCCTCGNNNCTCCTCGCCTCCGTCCGCTTGCTCATCGCACCTAAGCACGAAGAGAGGCACGCTCCTCGGGTTCAGAAGCTCCTCCTTCTGATGGAGGAGAATTACACCAAGGAGGAGGCTCTTCAGATGTCATCCCAGGTCCTGAGCCTCCTCAATTTCAAACTGACTGCTCCCACGCCCAAGTGCTTCTTGAGCGGCCTCGTCAACGTCGCTCGCGGGCCGCCTCAGCTCGAGTTCCTCGTCGATTTTATCGCAGAGCTCTCTCTTCTTGAGTACCACATGCTCCAGTACCCTCCGGGCCTGACTCGCTGCCTCTTCCCTTTTCCTCGCAAGGTTCGTGTTGAGGCCAAAGGAGCATCCTTGGACCAGGAGACTGGCTGACTACTCTTTTTATCGGCACTAGGAGCTCTCGGACTGCGTGAATGATCTCTTTTGGGCATTCATTTTCAGTTCAGGTAGCCGATATTTTGGTTGTGATTTGTAAAGCAGAAACATACGGGACTAGTAGTCCCGTATGTTTTGGTTGTGGTTTTAAAACATACGAGACTACTAGTCCCGATATGTTTCGATCAGCCTGCTTTTTAAAATAGACATCTTTTTGGCCTGTTGGCCAAAAGAGGTCGATTTTGCTAAATAATTAGCAAAATGATCGATTTTGCTAATTATTTAGCAAAAAAAGTTTTTTTTTTTTTAAAATCCCGTCAAAAATTTGATATATCCTTCTTGTCAATTAATGGGGCAAATTGGCCCACACTATTCATTGACTTGACCACTAACGACCACAACAACAATAACATGATGATGGTGAAGATGTATCTCCAAATATGCTGAAGCTTGCATTATAAAAAATAGGACATAAACTGGTCATCGGGTCGGGTCCTTTTAAGGTTTGTTAGTCAAACTTCTTCGCGAGGACACTTGGAATAATGGACACGTGACGGCTCATATCATTGTCCCCGAACTCATTGTTTTGTGGGCTTTGTGGGTCGATATCTTATACCTAACGTTTCGTAACAAGAGGGCCCACAAAATTATGGGCCTTTCTCAAACTTTACCAAACCATTACCAGTGCGAAGAAGGGCAGTCGCTATGAATCCCCCTTGAAGTTTGGAGAGACACCAAGAAACCTCCGAGCATTATCTTTACATTATGAAACACCGTGTTTTTTATTAAGAACAAAATTTTCCATATATTGTTAAAATTCATTTTATTCCAAAACTAACTTCTTCTCTTCTTTCTATTAACATATTTTCTTTCTTTCCTTCTGAAAAAAAATTCCCCAAGCACCCAAGAGGTGTCCCCCTCTTATTGCATAATGAGCTGGCGATCATTAATGATGACTGGTTTATTATGCAATAGGAGGGGGACACCTCACATGTCCCTCCTGTTGGTTTCATATTTCTTGTCCCTGTAGCAAAACTCTTTCTTTCTATCTCAGAGATAAAACACTTACTAGAAATTGAAAGTTACGCTGAATTGAGCTAAAATCAAAGGGTATGAACAGATCAATATAATCTTTTTTTTTTTTTTGCTAATTTTTCTCTTTCTCAAGGGTGATTGTTGCCTGGATTTGATGTGAAGAAAGGGAATATGTGTTTTGAAGTGGTTTGAGGAATAAGAGCAACACTATTGAGGAGCATCTTAAAGAAAAAAATGTAGAAATCCGAACAGGTTTTTTTTAACAACAGATAATATCGTGATCACAAAATAACATTAGCAATGTTCCCAATAAAGTGTCAAGCTTGAAAGCGATTTCATAGCGATCGCTCTACGAAGAATCGAGAAATAAAATTCTAACCTTTTCCAACAAGAAGGGTGGGGGGCAAAATGAGAACATGATCTCTAGATAAAAATATTATATGTAGCATTTGTTACAGGAAATTAATCTTAAATTTGTTGTTTGGATATTTACAGTTTTATTTGTGGCTAGTGTATCTCTAGATAAAAACTAATGTTCGGTTAATCACGAGATCTGTCGGACATTTATTTATTTTTATTTTATTTTATTTTTGGTAGAAGATACATTTCATTCACAAATTACATGTTTATTTCTCTTCAAATGTAAAAAAATCTACAGCTTTGAGTTAAAATCCAATAATTTGATAACATGGTGTTAATTTTAGTGTTTTTTTTAGTTAAAGCGGGGGTTTGGAATATTTTTTGCAGCCAACTTGACTGAAAATACTGTAAGTTTTTCAACAAAATGTAAA